GAATTTCAATTTTCGCGCGAGAAAGTTTGCAAGAAATCTCAACCAATCAGAGAACAGCTAGGAAAGATTTTAGCAGTTTGAAGCGTCAGTTTGGTGCAGTGGTACGTGGGAAGTGGTTGACTATTTCAAAAGTGTCGTTTTAATTTCGGAATAGTTCTTCACCTTTTACGTGTTACTCTCAGATTCGTTTCGGTAATGTATATATATTCATTTAATTATTTGTTAGATGGAAATTATTATACAGAAATTAAGTAGTATCTTGAATTTTCTTCGATCTTTCGTTGATCTCCTATTCGATTGTACGTCACTAATAAATTATATTGTTACCTTTTAAAACAATAATTGAGTTTAAATATTGCTTGATTTTGATACATTTAGATTTAAATTTATATATTTACTTAAAATTTGTCTGTTAACAGGTGATTAATTGATCGATTGAAGCAGATTTCGTAACAAAGGTACGTTCAGCACATATGCTTCCATTATTTCTTCTAATATTATTTATCAATAATAAGCATTCAATATATTATTGATTTAAAACTGAATGATACAAAGATGAAACCAGACAAAATTAAATCACTTTTTCCGTCACAAATCACATATTAAATCATTATCATTATTTCAAATCATTGCAATTGTATTTGCAATTTGTATTGTAAACCAGATCTTTGTATAATTTGAAACAATATACTGTTAACATAGTCTTAAATTTAATAAGAGGTTCATTCTATCTTATTATATTTAAATACGAAGTCGAAAAATTTTAATGTATTATACTCTGATCGTGAATTTTTAAAAATCGTGATGGCGCCACTGTATAACAGTAGCGCCATGATACGTTAATTCAAATTTCGCTTCAAAATAATTAGTCGCAACTTTTAAGCAGTGTTATTTCATTAGTATTTTCGGATATTTCGTGGACGCATTATTACAAGAAATATATTGAAATTTAATATATAATATTTTTTAAACAGAATATATTACATTAAAAATATTTACATATATTTAGTATTTAAATATTTTTATTTTTGGAATCAGTGTTTGTCGATTATTACCTAAACGTTATTATTATCTAAATGTTATTTTCCTTTCTTTATAATATACATTTTTTGAAATATTTACTTTTAGTATTAGGATAAAGTCTCTCTAGAAGCTCAATATAGATATTCTATGTATTTCTATGTTGCATTTTAATTTATTTTAATTTTTAAGGATTTTGATTAAATTATTATTAGTTTAAATTTTTATTGAATAAAGTTTTTATTCTACTGTATTATAAAATAAATGTCTAATTAAAAAATCATTAGATTTCTATTTTCTAGATTTTAAATTGTTATCTTAAAATTCCAGTCATTATAATAATTAAATTTTATCAATTTCTTCAGTTTTCATTAATATTGAAGTTCTAAGTTTAATAAAGTTTTATTATTTATTATCTCAAATTTTTTAAAATTTCCCTAACTTTTAAAAACAAACAATAACTCAATATTTTATTAAAGATAATTTCCTCTACTTGAAAGGACTTTTACAATTTTCATTATGATATACATATATCATATTTGGTCTTTGTATGTTTACACTTTACTTCTGTTACTATTAATTAAGAGTAATAATATTAAATAATAATTGAAATAAAATAAAAAAATAGTAATTAAGATTAATAATATCAAGAAACAGTAGACTTTCAATTTTTATCATTATTTTTTTGAACTTTCCAAATAACACTATGCCTTTAAGAAAAAATTAAAATATTTTATGCTTTGTTATACAGAATTCCCCAAGCCTTCACTTCTGATTTGACGATGACTTCCCATGGTCTACAGCAACATTGGTGATAATATTCTTCGCATCTAATGATGAGTCGCATGCATTTATGTTCCTCCGGTCATTCAATCATGCCGTAGGATGAAAGGTCCAAATCGGCACGGGTGACTGGTTGTATACGTAGAAATTTTGACGAGCATAGTGACCGCGGATATTTATTATATCCGTGAATAGTAACATTTTTTTGTCTGTGTTTCATTTATTAGTTCAGGATAGGTTTTCTTGCACATCGCGTTCGTGAATGTTAATTATAATATATTAGTAATTGATGAATATAATTATGACATGTTATGATAAAATTACAATTATTTGTAAAATCAAAGTATTATTCGATATGATTTTTTTGCATATATATAATCCATATATACAAAATTTATATATATATATATATATATATATGTGTGTGTGTGTGTATATATATACAAAATTTATATATTTCGCATATATACAAAATTTTTTTGCATACGACAATATACAATGTATATTCTATAATGTATAATGTATAAAGTTTAATTTTATTTCCACAAACGTATGAAATTTCATGTGCAAGAAAACATTTCGCGACAGGCAGATTTCAGAGTCAAAGAAATGAATTATTTTTGTATTTTGAGAGATGTGCTTTGACGAAGAAATCACCTGAATGTATCTCCATTAATATTTCATTTAAAATCAGAGTTTATTGTTACTCCTTCAATACTACTTGCATTTTAATCTATATCTCGATAAATATTATTGAAATATTTTGATCCCTTTAATTCTTTGACTGTTTCTATAATATGGTAAATTCAACTTCAGTCATTGAGAAAATAAAATACAATACATATACAAAAAGTAAAATGAGCAAATACAAAATCAAGAATTATTAGCCCGTTAAATAGATATATTAATCATCTTTTTAGATTAGGATTTTCAGGTTTGACCCTTTCCATGTTCATTGCCAGGACCTCATTCACGTGCCTAGGTGCTACTTGGATGAGAGAAAGGCAATGTGCATGATGACCATAGTTCATAAGCTTAATAACTTCATAAGCGACTGATGATGCATTAGCGTATCGTGCACGACGTATTGTCCACATTTTGTGCGTGTGTGTTAGGCTGTGGAATTGCGTCGTTTTTTTTTT